ATATATTTAATTAATTAATTATATTATTATATTATATTAATTATATTATATTAATTATATATTTAATTCCCAATTTATATATTACTTTATTTTATATTACTTTTCATTCTTTATATATTTAATTAATTAATTATATTATTATATTATATTAATTATATTATATTAATTATATATTTAATTCCCAATTTATATATTACTTTATTTTATATTACTTTTCATTCTTTATATATTTAATTAATTAATTATATTATTATATTATATTAATTATATTATATTAATTATATATTTAATTCCCAATTTATATATTACTTTATTTTATATTACTTTTCATTCTTTATATATTTAATTAATTAATTATATTATTATATTATATTAATTATATTATATTAATTATATTTATATTATATATATTATATTATATTGATAGTTATAGGAGATTATAGTTATATTACATTATATATATTATATATTACATATTACATTATATATATTATATATTACATATTACATTATATATATTATATTATACATATTATATATTTTATTATACATATTATATTATAGATATTATATATTATATTATAGTATATATTATATTATATATTTATTATATTATATATTATATTATATATTATATTATATATTATATTACATTTTATATTATATATTATATTACATTTTATATTATATTATATTATATTTTATTATATTATATTATATTTAATTTTTTTCCATAATTTCCGTAATTTTTTCTTTTTTGATATGATTTATCTTATATTATTGTATATGATAAGGTGTATTAATCTTTCGCTTATAAAATTTATCATATGGTTGCTAAATAAATGTTTGATATATTATTTTATTATAACTTATAATTGTTATCTTACTTAGGAATATCCAAATCGAGTTCGGTTATTGGATGATATCCGAACTCATCTGCTGTATAACGAGTTTTATAACGCTTTCCATCTGCACCAGTGAACGAATAAGCTCCACTTACAATGAATGTCTTTTCATCTTTTAGTTTTCCTACACTCGTAACTTCAATTCCGTTTTGAGTTTTTAGGCTAAAATTTTTTAAGGATAAAATATGTATTAATAATGAACATATTTTGTATTTTTTGAGGTAAAGTTAAGTAATATGGAAAATGAGCTTCTGATAGATTTTAAAATTATTTTAATTCTTCACGAGATTTTTCTTGTGGATAAATAATTTACTAATATAAGTAATATAATATACATAAGTTAAAGTTCAGAAATTTATTTGCAAAAATTACTTACTCTAACTTAAACTTTTTATTTCCGTTAAGATTTTGGAGTTTCTCTACAGCTGCTTTCATAACATCACCTCCAAAAATTATTGCAGGCTTATCATCATCAATGTCTTCTGGAAGGGTATAAATATCACTTGGATCATATTTAAATAAATCCAGATTTCTATCTGATATGTGTTTAACATCAGCAACCGCATATATTACAAAGAGTAATATGATGAACTATAAGAAAATTTAAGTGTATTAGATCTGGATTGCATTAAATTTAAATTTAAGAATTAACAGTAATTACTAATCACAGTTTTAATTACATCAAAGCTTTATATTATTTTTAGTACATGCAACCATTAACTAAATAAACCTTTACTTTGTCTATGATATTACACAGCAAATTTGTTTCGCACTTGATTTAGCTTATTTAGTCTACTTTTAGTTTTAATTTCTTTATTTCACTTTTTAAAATTTCTTAAAAAAATTTGTAGCCAAATAAGGCCCGCGGAACATGTTCATTATTTCAAATAAATTTTAACTAATAACTTACTATTCTTATTAAAATCATTTCAAATATAAATGTGGATTATGTAAAAAACTATAACAAGAGGTATTTGTTATTCAAATACTTATTGAAAAATACGCCAAAAATTACTTCTTGTTTCCTTATATATGTTGCCAACTACTAAAAGACAACGTGTATATTTAATGTTTTCCAATGCCAAAATATTATTTAAAAAACAAGATTTGCACTTTAAAGCGGCAAAATACAGTAAGTTTGGAGCTGGTTAATACATCGTTATAATTAAAATCAAAAAAGAATTTATGTTAATACATAGAGCTATTTTTTTATTTCCTAAGTATTTTTTACTTAGTTAAATGTAGTTACGCATACATGTTTACTATACAAACATTTTCTTTTTTATTCATTTTTAAGCATAAGAATAAAAGAAATCTGGTTTCTTCAGAAAACAGCAAGAACTTGATGAAAATTATCATAAAACTTGAATTCTAAATTAACATACACGTTTACTGATTAAGTTGATCAACCAAATAAGCATTCGATTATTTCATATATTTCTAGTTTTCGGTGACAGTTGTGTTAAAATTTATTTAAAAATATCTTACAGACTCGTGCATTTAACTAATTTAATTCAAAGAATACACACTTTCAAATTTATATCTAAATGTTATGTATAAAAACTGTGAACAAGTTAGTTGTTATAAAGCGCTTGTGTATGTAACTAAGTTCATTATCAATAATATAATTAAAAAAAAAAATTTTTGAATAATTAGTACAAAAACATATATGCTGCACAGAAGTATTTCTTTATGATTTTTTTTTTAATAAATGCTTAGTTATTATTTATCTTATTAAGGATTACTACGAAATTATTACGTTTTGATAATCGGAAAGTATTAAAACAATTAAGATAAATTTTCTAAAATAAGAATATATTGAATTTCAAATAATGCCATAATATTCCTAATATTAAATAACTATTTTTATCTGTTTTCTTTAAAGGCATACAATTAAGTACAAAAACTAAATCGATGGATAGTAATTTATAAGGCTATTATATGTTGTCTGTTGAATTTACACAGTTGACTACACATATGAGTGTTGTCTCCAATGAGACAGTCTATTAGTTTAGAAAGGGCACTTTAACCCAATCTATTATATTTAATGTTATTGTATATTATTTTTCACTTCCATTAATTTGAGACTTCTCAAGATCATCTTCTCTCTAATTTTTAATACAAATTAAAATTATTTACGTTAATATAATATTTTGCTATGATAATATATCCACTTAAAAATGACTTCGGCCATCATTTGGTCAACTAAAAACAAAAGATGTTTGACTTTTTCAATATAGGCGCAGTATCAAAGCAAGTAAAATTGATAGATTTTTATATCTTATATCTGCAAGGATAACAATAATTAAATAACTTTATTTTTGACTATTAGTCCAATTTTAGAATTAATATATGTTAAGTAATTGATTGTCAGCATATTTATATAAAATAGACATCATTTAGGGTATCGAATATTATTTTTTAAATCAATAGGAATAAATATGAATCGAATCGTATTTATAAGATCATTTCTAAGTTCAGATTGATTTGCTTTGGTGAGCTGTCTGCATAACTTCAAGTATTAGCCAAAATAATAGTTGTAAATATTTAACTTGAAATGGGAAACTTTGTTAAATAACATAGTTACTTTATAATTATCTTCAGTGCTGGTTTTAGCACTATCGGTGCCCCTGTGACGAGATTACTGCTGCGCCCCATACCTACTATTGAAAACCATGTAAAAAAGCGAAAAAAAATTGTATGGAATGATAACAGTAATGAAATTATAAAATAATACTTTGTCATAAAAATACTTTTTATTATACGTGTTAAGGTAGAAATTAAGTAATAAATAAATTATTTTACATTGCTAAATTGTGTCATTCAATTTATATTTTTGCAATTTAGCAATTGTGAAATAACTTGTGTTGAATATTTATGTTAAGCTAAGGCAACAACTTAACTGGAGCAACGGTGAAATATGCAACGTTGCGTTATGCATTGTTCCAATTAATTTGTTGCTAAGGTATTATTCATTTTAATAATATTATAGCACAAAAAATTGTATAAAAGAAATTGAAACAATAAATAAAGTAATCAATCAATAAAATCTATTCTTTGATTCTTGTCGATAACCTAATTTTGCTTTATGTAGAGTAAGGTTCAAGGCCTTAATCTACAACCAATAAGCAATATTCAATAAGTTAAAGTGCTTATTGAATATTATAAGAATTAAGGCTTTTCAATAATACATAAAATTTGGTGACCCAGATGTGATAGACGTAGATCAAGTACGTAAACGAAGGACGTGACCAAGGATCAAAGATCACGTACCGCTTCATCAAGATATCAAGCAAGAGTACAACAGTGTGAGCTTCAAGCAGATAAAAAAAAGCAAAAGCACAACAAGTGGGAGCTTTCAATAAAACAGCAAGAGCATAACAGTGTGAGCTGCAAACACATTACAAGCATCAAGGTTACCTGACTTGTTGGAAACAAATATGGAAACTTTTGAGGAGTTAGTTCTCCAACAGCAACAACTGGATCAACTGATCCAGAAATTGATTTCATAAAGGATCCAAAAGAAAGAAAGTTGAACAAGGCTTACTTTGAAGAACGTAAAAAACGTCTAATTAATTTATGGTCTGAAATCGAAGAAAATGACTACCGCATCAGGGTGTTGTCAGATATCCAAATCACTCATTAATATTTTACTAATGAGGATTATTTAAAAATTATAGACTTAGCAGAATGTTACATTGCTCGATTCACTCATCAACTACAGGAATTCAGTGATGAGGCAAATCAATTTCTGAGCTGATAATAACGAAACAACCACATGCAGTAGCAACAGAGGTAAATAACAATCCAATTCAATTACCGAAGATGTCTATACCGAGATTTGACGAAGATTATCTTAAATTTTATGATAATCACTACCCAAGGTACAAAAGATGTGGTTTTTAAAAAATAATTTCTCAGGAGAACCAGAGAGGCTTATCAGACATCTGCCAACTACCAATGATAGTTACGACGTAGCATGGAAGATACTTCAGAAGAAATACAGGAATAAGAGAATATTAAGAACCATGTTAATACAGCGGCTGCTCGGAAACCTCAATGCTCTGGCACTGCGATGTCTCTAAAGTCACTACATGATGTGATACATGAATGTTTGTTGGCATTAAATAACTTAGATGTTCAAACAGTTCATTGGGATGCTATTAACAAAGAAGCTGGATGCAAGTACACATATGTTGTATGAGCAATTATTGACAAAGCCAAAAGAATTACAATCAAAGACAGGGTTTTTAAGCTTCATTGAAACGCGTTTTCAAACTCTGGAGGCAATCGGCCAAAAGAGTACTATTAATAATAACGTAACAAATCAAGCAGACAATCATGCATATATTGTAAAAAACATAACTTATGTCGTAACTGTTTGAGACCAGGTCATATAGCATACAACTGTAAATCAGGCAATTGTACAAAATGTAATCAAAAACACAACTCTTTACTAATGGCACTCAGAAACAAACAACAATACCAAAGTCCAACAATTCTCAACGCAGTGTAAGCACAGGTCTCAACGCTGATCATCAAGCATCATTATTTATTGCCGGAAAGGACAATGAACAGCAATATGTATTCTTAGGAACAGCAACTATAAGATTATTGTCACATAACGGTCAAGAAATTAAATGTAGAGCATTATTAGACTCAGGTTCTCAAGTTAATTTAATGACCGAGAGGGTAGCTCATCGACTAGGAATAACTCCAAAGGCAACATCAATACATATAAATAGAGTTGGTAACACCACACAGCGTGCCCGTCAAAGAATTAGCACTATCTTCAAATCAATGAAGAGCAATTTCAAAACAAATTTAGAAGCATTTGTGTTACCACATATCATTGCTCCACAATCAACTCAATGTGTCAATATCAGCTCTTGGAACATTTCAAAAAATATTAATTTAGCTGATCCTAACTTCAATGAGTCACAAAAAATAGACGTATTACTAGGAGCTAAATTTTATCCACATCTCTTAACGTCAGGGCAAATACAATTGGGAGTCGACAAACCAATACTCCAGAATACTACTCTTGGATGGGTTGTAATTGGCAAACTCACAGAAACAGCAAAGGGCGACGCAGTCTGTTGTATGTTTAGCGAAGAAGAAGATTCGATAATAATCTCCTCGTCCAATTTTGGGATCTTGAAGAATCAGCACAAGATTGAAAACTACTGTCTGATCAAAAAAAAATATGTGAAACTCATTTTGTGGAAAACTTAAAACGTACTAAGGAAGGCAGATTTATTGTGAAATTACCACTTATTGACAGTGTATCAACATTAGGATCCTCTAGTGAAACTGCACAACGCAGATTTTTCTTTCTTGAACAACGGCTTTCAAAAAATGAAGCATTTAGGGCACAATACGTGCAGTTTATGATTGAGTATAAAAATCTCGGTAACATGGAAGAAATTCAACCTGATGACATCATGGCCTCACATTATTTCATTCTTCATCATTACGCGATAAAACTAGATAGCACCACGACAAAATTGCGTGTTGTGTTCGATGTACCTAGTAAAACTTCATCAGGTCGATCATTGAATGACATTATGCATACTGGTCCTGAGGTACAGAGCGATCTATTCTCAATATTATTACGATTCAGAAATCCAATATACGCTTTCACAACGGACATTGAGAAAATATATAGGCAAATACTTATTCACCCAGAAGATCAAATGCTACAATTAATCATTTGGAGAAATAATCCACAAGAGTTACTACGATTTTATAAACTAAAAACTATGACATATGGGATTCGATCAGGTCCATACTTAGCTATAAAATATTTACAAACTTTAGCAAGAGAAAGTTCTGGTACTTATCCATTTGGAGCAGAGACTCTACGAAGATACTTCTATGTCGATGATGGATTATGTGGTTCTAACAGTCTGATAGAGGCTAAGGTGATTTAAGAACTACTAATCAACATTTTGAAATAATATGCTTTTAAACCAAGAAAA